TGTATCAACATAAAATACAAATGTCAGCATTTTAAGTTATTTAAAAAAAATATTGTAGATTATTAATATCATTTTCATATGTGATATGTATGCGTACTCAATATATATATAATATACCACTATACCATTTGATTGTTACCTAGGTATATTAAATATATATTTTCTTTCAGTTAAGTGAATATATATATAAACATAATATTACATTTTTTTTTTTAAATGAAATGTATGTTTCTTAGTCATTGTGGTTTTTAAAATTGATACCATTTAAAATATATATATATATAATTTGCTTATTGTTAATATTATACAAACACTAAATAAAGTTTAATTAATTTGTCAATCGAATTTTTTTTTTATATCGTCTCGATTGGAGTAAGAATGTGAGCCCTTAAGAGGACATCCTCCAAACAAATAGATAGTTATAAGTATCTATATATTGTAATCTGTAGCCCGCTGATAGGAACTCAAACAACAAGAATGGAGTTTGAGACATGTCACACACGCGCGCCCGCTGGATCATGTTAATTTTGTCTTATCCTTTTGCGCATTGTGCGCACCAGTTCATTTGTGTGAAATCTCATCAGTATTCACGTCGAAGAAGTATATAGTAGTGTGTAGATGGTGATTGATAGCGGACGAGTGGATGACGGAAATGCAAAGGGTAGTACGTATACAGTGCATGTTGTGTACCATTGTGGAATGGGTGGGGAGGGGGGTCGCAGGAGAACACTGCGCAATCGGAATTTCCTTTGCCAACATTGTTAGYTCTACTCTCGTCGTTAATAGGGTTCGAAAAATGAGAAGAATAATAATCTTGTCATTCCCGCCTCGTTCGGCGACCCTGTTGTTTTGTCGTTCATCGCTGTTGTTTTTTTTTTCTCGTAATGAGAAAAGACAAAATGATCCCGAGCTCTCTAGTCGTTTGGCCTAGTCCTTTTATTTATTATAGAAAATAAAAAAGGGAAAATTTGTTTTTAAAATACTACCTCACGCGTATCATACTCTTGGAACGCGTATTTGGTGTACTCGCAGATTCTTCGAAAGGTTTTTTGTTTTCCCCCTTTAGCGCATATATATATTTTAATAATTAAAACGACAACAAAAGTGGAATCTTTTTGTTCGATCTCACTGTACTCAAAGGCACACAAACACACTATCCATTATACTATTTTGATCTAAAAATATGTTGATTAACTCGAAATGATACAAACTGTAATCAGTATAAAAATGTGTACAATTCTAATTTTGTATTAATTTGTTCCATTCAGTATTATTACTTGTGTCATTTTCGGTTTTCAACAAAACGGTGCAATTAATTATTCGTACATAATAAAAATATTATATTATAATTTATAAAAAAA